AACAAAATTGCCTTTGGCAGCTCCCAAAACAGTCATGATCCTACTGCTATCACCATAACCTTTGTAGGGATACATCTACAGCTTTATTACAGGTGGCACAGTTTGGGAGACTAGGAACATTTGGTAGTTTTGGTAGAATCATAGATTGGTTTTGCCTTGAACTTGGAAGCACTGAGCCCACTGAACCAACACAACCTGTGAATATACAGTGAAATTAATGCAATTGAGTACTGATTTACTGAACAGATACACAGTCGACCAAGCTGTCTCAGATTTTCCCCTGATGTACTTCAGGACGAGTTTGTACATAACATACATTATGCATTCTCAGATACTCATACAAAATCTCCAAATGCTATCCAGACATACCTTCTGCATGGAAAAAAAATCTGGAGGCAAATCGGGACATATGGGAGATAAAGCTTAATGCAATCTGTATGTGACTATCAGTTCTGAGTACTATAGTGTAACTCCTGCTTAACAGAAAACTTTTGTCTATGTATCCTAATTAGAACACATTTTAGAGTGATATTCTAGGCCAGCTCACAGCATGAAAGCAAAGAGCTTAGCAAAAGGTACTAGACAATTCATTCATGTGATGGTATACATCATAAACATTTTTATTCCCAACACAAGTATGTCTATACTTGCTGCTATTTTTATTGGTTGGGGGGGTGGGGAGTGGGGATGGTTTGGGGATTTTTTTGTTTGGGTTGGTTTGTTTTTAAACAACATTAATTCTGTTAGTTTATATATTTGGGTTTTTTTAGAATAGCACATAGTAATTTAAAATTGGACTTTGAACTTTTTGACATAAGCCTATAAATATTTTATGCTAGAAGTAATGCTAAATATGTGCAAGTTTGAAGGACTGGGGCTTTGTTTAGTTTTATTTAGCAGCTTTTACAGTGAATCTAGTTGGGCATGACTTTCCGAGCATCAAGTAGGCAAGCAGAAGGCAAAAAATAACACTAAAGGGACTCAGTTTTTGGTACCTTCCCTTAGCACTCTTTGTACAAGTCATCCCTGCGGTACCATTTTCTTTCATGTTACTTCTGACTACTGAAATCAGATGACATCTTGCACACAAGACAAAAAAACCTCATTTTAAACCAACTTTTCAGCATCACACTAATTCAGGAAGGCATAGTTCCTTAGATTTTTTTTTCTGTATTTTCAGTGAAATCATATATAGAATACATTTAGTATTTTTAATATAGTAACAAACATCTGAGGTTATTTGAGTGTGGAAAAAAGTTCAGGGCTACGCAGTTTGAAGTACTCTAAGAAGCAGTGGAGTTGTTCCAACAACAAACAGAATTTGGAAAACATAACAAACAACTTGAACAACATGTTGGGATTTGAACGTTAAATATGCTTTAAACTTGGAAACAGTTAAAAATAAAATTTGTTTAAAAAAGAAACCAAAAAACCACGATATCTAAAACCACACACAGGATGAAAGAATCCTCACTAGAGAAATCAAAAGACACATTTTAAAAGCAGGCCTAGAGAATGAGTATTTAAGTTTGACATCTAAAAGAAGCTAAGGACAGGACTAGAAGAGTGTTTGGGGGGAAGGGGGAGAATTTTTTTTTGTTTTGTCTAATTTCTATACTGAAATACCTGTCAAAATCCGAAATTATCTTTATGAAGTTGCAGTTTATTCTTTTATTCTGCATTCTCGATTGTCTCTCACTCTTGAGCAACTGTGTAGAAAAGACACTACACTAAATACTCTTCTTTGAAATAGTACTTTGTAATCCTTTACCTCCTACCTATTTATATTTATTATATAAGTTAGCACAAGCAATTTAAGGAAAGAAAATAGTTTAATGAAGTCAAGGAAGGCAAATCCACAAATCTTTCTAAATGCAAAATCAGCACCTTTATAGCAAAAGCTGCTGTCAGAAAGGCTGGTAGTGAAAGTTCCAGCTTCAACATTATCTCAGCTATTGGACAAATGTATTCTACATGTGCTTTTCTGACAAGAACAGAAACAGCAAACAAAGTGTAGTGCAAGCACACCAGCATTCAAACATTAGCCTGCTATGTTTAGATGATTGTGAGTTTTAGGTAGACATGGCACTAATATTAAGGCTCCTAAGGCTTTCATTTCTTTTGACGACATTATAAACCTTGAAAACAAACATCAACCACTGAAGCTGAATACTTTTTGAAAGTTGGTTCACTAAAGATGAAGCCTACAATGAAGCAGATAATGAAAATAGTTTGGTAACATTAAACATAAAGCAGTTATGAAAGGTTTAACAACTACAGCTATTCCATTGAAAAGAATTTTAACAACAATCTAAGCATAGGATCCAAAAAGGACCTTTTCCCATCTGCATGAAAGATTCACCTGTCTGACCGATCTAATAATTCCAGTAGTTGTTTGTAATAAATACACTATTACTCCTGAATAACCTAAGTGTACCACATGCTTCAAAGCCTGATATGAGCTAGATTCTCAGAACTGCACATACGAAAGAGAAGCATTGTGTCCTTTATAGACATGCGCTATTACAAGATGTTAGCAACTGACTTTTCTGTCAGTAACCATTAGTGATAACATACCATGACTGTCAAAAAATTATAGACTAGTCAGCAGTGATCCTTCAGTATATCCAGACTCTTGAATTCATAGTAAGCAGAGTTTTTTTTCAAACCCCACTTTCATGTAATGAAAAATGAATTTTCAGGTCAACCAAGATGACCAATATATTTGTGTTGCATTTGCCATTTGTTTGGAAAGAATCAGCAGTAATTCTCAATTCTATCTGTATATGCACTCCAACTCATTTATGCTAACAACTCTATGAAACTAATATTTAAGGCACTGTTATGTTTCTTTCAGATGAATTTGAAAGGTAGAAAGCATCTCCAACCATTATTCACAGATATCAAAAGAATTTCTTTCAGTTAAAGAGAAAGCAGCTATAGTAGTAACTCCTGGATGTTGCATACTGACAATAATATTAATAACGCTAATTATATCTGCAAACTTCAATGAACACTGGATCAAACCCAACATTTTACATTACCAAAATCTTTTGCTTCATTATTAAATATGTCTAAAACATATTAAAAATATCACAAGCTTACTAAAGATTACCACAGCCCTCCAACCAAGCAATTAAAGATGTTGATCTGAAAGAAGATTGCAAATTTACCAGAAATATTTTATAATTTTAACCATTCAATAAATATGGGACAAAACCCAAACCATATGTGTCGAATATATAACCACTGGGAAAAGTGTTCTCACTCATGTCAACCTAACCACAAAACTTGGGTCAACAACAACTTCAAAATAACTGTGTAGCATGGTTCTCATGAACACAAATGGGATCAGTTAAAAGGAGAAAGCACCACTGTTTCTCAGCCATTTTTGTTATAAATCACTCTTTAGTGAGCAACAGTAAAGTGCTTAAAGAGGTAGGGATTTTCAGTAGAAATCTGCAATGCTGAAATTCCAATTGGGAATCTAAGGATTTTTGACATGTCCGAAATCACAAAGAACTATAGAAATACTGTCCTAGTTTGAAGGTTAGATTTTGATTCTAAAGGTGCTCTATGGCATATTTTCTTAGTAAGCTGCATAACATTATTTGTAGCCATGCTCCAAGACAACATGATAAACCTGCTTTGGTCCAGAGAACAGGTCACCTTGACCTGATGCAGCTCCTATTTCATTATAATGCTAAGTAAAGCAAGCACACTTAAATCGCCTCTCAAGATGAGTGAAACTATTTACCAAATTGCATATATAAAACTATTGCATTGTCTTGAAAAGCCTGAGGGACTTAGAAGTTCTGAGGTAGCAAGTGAAAGATTGCTTTGCAGTTTGAATTCTGTTTTCTCATGGTTGTGCATTACTTTACAGACTAAAATTCTGATCTCCCTCCTTATTTACAGAATAGATCCCCTGGAAATGAATAAACAGCAGGTTCATGGCATACCCAGATGCTAAAGAACCTCAGACTTCTGAACACTAGACAATGAAGCTCCAAAGTCAGACCAGTCTTGCACCAAATTCCACTCTCTCCTTACAGGTAGGTTTAGTTGCCTCCATTGATCACAACCATGGCAGGAACATCTGACACAGACCCTTGAATACAGAATTTCCAGACTATTTAGTACTTAATATAACAAAAATATCTTACAGTCAAATTGTTATAAAAATCTTAAATACACATTTTGCCAAACAACTTGTGGTATAGCCAGGGATTAAAAGTAAGGAAGTCAGCAAAGTTACATGCTCTGCTTATTCTGTTCAAAGTAGAAAAAGCTTTACTTCCTCTTGAAGCTTGGCTACACAGCACTGCTCAGCTCCCGTTTCTCTTCTGCAGCTCAGGGAAGACTACATTTCTACTGAAATTAATTTGTACTTATGGTCTTTTATCTCAGTTTACTCTTTAGTTTAGCTAAGTCATAAACTGCTACTGACTTTGCAATTCATATTTTTTGTGTCTACAGCTATGAATTGCAATTGCTCAGGAAACTTAAAAGAAGAAACCATAATTACTATTACCCTCCTTTCCAACAGCAAAGAACAACAGAAAGCTGTCAATTGTGAGGCTAAACTAGACATTTTTTACAATCTTGTTTGCTGTTAATAGAAACCAATACAATTCAGCAGAGAACTCCAAACAAGAATTTGAAGTAAGAGAGTAGCTAGATTGTGATGGTTTTAGTGGTAGATGAAAAAAGCAGTGTTTGGATCCATCTTGGGCTAAGGCTAAAAAGGTTCAGACACTGATATGATGGGGCCCATTAAGCTGTTCCTAGTTCAACTATTGACAGATTTTTAGAAGCAATCAAGTTTAGCACACGTGTCCCTTTTGGTTTTGATTCTAACAGACAGGTGAGTTCAAATATTGGAATACTAGACAAAGGGCATAGCCTGAAGGGATTTCCACGAAAACATTTTCATCTTTGCCCATCTTCAGACAAT